TCGAATAGCGGTACTTTTAAATTCAATAATTATCGATCGATTTTCTTTTGGTTCAGGCCGGTTGGCTGTTCATGTTTTTGTTCAACGCATTTATGCGTAACTTACAGACATGTAGATGAATTAGCGAAAGCCCCCTTTGACACAACTTTGCTTTTAAAACAGATGACTTGCTGATTGATCTTCAGTAAAGCGACAATGATTGCCGCTGGTCTGCAGAGGCACAGCTATACGCGTTGCTGCACTATATGTTCTTGCAAATGTAAGAGAGACGGTTCACTCTTTGCGCTGCAATGAGGAAGAAGTCGATAGTTATGACAATATATGTTTACGCCTTTTCAAAGAAGGTACCACAAGACACATTTGGGAAGGGTAAGAAATGCTTTCACAGCTATTAAGAATTTGCAACTGTTAATCAAGGTTCAGTTTTACTTTTATGAAAACGGTGTGCAAACATTAGCGTCCCATTTACATCTATGTCTGACATTTCACGAAATGAGTTATCTGAATATTTTTAATCGTACTTAATAATGGTCATCAATGCAGTGAAAACGGGGTATCTATTGCTAAGTCTTATGATCACTTCGTACATTTTATTTTTTATAGTTTATCACAACTTGGTTACTGCTGTTTTAGAAAGCTGCATAACGTATTTTGATAGATCTTTTAAACAGTTACATGTATTGCAAACTGAATGGCCGTTTAATACATATCTTAAGGTTAGGAAAGAACTCCTTCATGCATCGGTAATTTCAGCAGCAGCAGCAATAATTTGCAAGCACGTAGATCTGTTGAAAGGGAATCAGGCAATCGACAGCGTTTCAAGTCCATTTGGATGAGAATAATGCCAGAAAAGCGAATAGATTGTGATGATATACTTCTTAACTATATGGAACCAGCGGTTCAACAAAGTAAGTTAAGACAACAGACTGTTAACTGTGTTATAACAGTGGTAGCTGGTGAATTCATTTCACGTACTGAAGTACAAATCAGAGTGGAGGTCAATACTTTGATATGGTGCTTGCATCCAACCTACACGGAGAGAATAAGAACAAAGGGCATTGTAGTAAGGTAAATGCAGCACGCTCCCGTACATGTGTAAAAATACCCTTCATAGAGACACATCAAAGCACGTGTTAGAACATCACTATTTTGCTAAATTGATATTTGTCACTGTTTATAACAACTAGGTTGGAGAAAAATCTTTATCACTTTAACAACATTAAAGAAATGATGCTTCAAGGCACATTTTAGACGTAGAGAATAACTGCAAAAGCGATTCTCAGAAATGAGTGCTCGTAGAATGCCAATTGCAAGCGATGTATGGTCCAATAATACATAGCTATAAGCCATATTGTGGGTAAAAAATATCATTTTCTCGTTGTAACTTTGAGAGAAAGTTTTCATTCTCTCTCCGCATGTCATATGCATTTGATATTTTTCGCAATTGAAAATATGAATCTTTCCGTTCAGGAACTCCATTTAGCATCTTGACTGTGGGAAATAATTTAAAACCGTTTTTAGATATGTTATCCTGACAGAAATGCCGAATACGGTGGAGAAGCGTGTATCAATCGTTGTTGGAACAAAATAATTTTCCTAAAGACACGTGCGCAACAGCATATCTAAATGACATTAGGGAAAAAATTAATGCTGATACGAGAAACATGCTAAATTCTTATCTCAGAATTGCCCTGAATTTGAAGACGAATTCGCAACTTGTGTCTTCCTGCTCCCAGGAACGTCGATAATGATGTCTTGGATAAAGATGATCTGATCGATCTGAAAGTTAAATACGTGCCTAGAAATGAGTTCATCACCTGGACTCCAGCTGAGGAGTGGAAATCATAATGGAGGCATATATTTCACTGCTAAAAGTTCTTTAAGGCTTTTCTACTTTGCTTGTCATCAAGGTCACAGTCATTAACCAGTTGGATGTAAAGATGATATGCGTTTTGTCGTATTGAAAACGAACTCTCGAGTCCACCTACTGAAGAACAAAAAGCAATGATAAAACGAGTGCTAAATTTTATAACATTTGTCTTACTACACAGGAGATTGCAGTAGACACATTTTAATTTATTTCGTATTCCAACCTTTTCGCAATATTACTATTATCTGATGTGATCTTTATGAGTTCAGAATGCAAATAAGTGAAACTCCTTTAAAGAAACTGAGCAGGCCAATAATTTTACATACAATACGATATGAGGATTTTTGTTGATGAAGAATATTAGTTATACACTGCTTAAACGTCTGTTGAATAACTTAGTGTTTTCTAGGAATCAGCGAAAAGTTTGTCATAATATAAGTTGCATTTCATAAAAATTTGAAGACAAAATTGCTGCGATCAGACACCCTGCCAAATGTTCAGGTAATGTTTAACTGTGAAAAGATGGCATAATTTATAAATACGTTTACATGGGTCATGAGATCAACATGCAACGCGAATAGGCATTTGAGATTCAATGAGGAAAGAAGACCGGTTAAAGCAAATTCCATTTCATGAAGGACGTCATCATTGGAAACAATAGGAAAAAACCCGCGTTCATATCTCCAAATTTATCATCCTGCCAGCAATGGTGTATGCCATTGAGACGTTGACCCTCATGAAGCCGGAGCGCCAGCTACCTGTAGCAGATATAGCCACGAAGAGGAAAATGTCATGCCTTCGTGCATACGGGATTGATGGCCAGCTGCTAAGGGCCATCCAATCACTGTATTCTGATAGCAG